TATACTACGACTTTGTCTTTTCCCTTAAGTTAAGAAGACCTTAAATGGTACAGAAAACAATACACTTAGGGCTGGTTATATAAAGCTTACTTAAAATTAAGCTCAGTTTTCGGTGATACATGTCAATTTCCGATGCTATATGTGCAGTCTAATGTTTGGGGAAACTAGCCCTAAGTGTTAAATGGTATTTAGACTGTACCTATGTCATACAAAATTTGTCATGTGTCACCTCAAACCGAGTTTAACTTTAAGTAAGATTTATACAACCGACCCTTAATATATCTTTAACTTTAAGGAATCCTTAAGAAAGTCGTTGCAAACGGCTGTTAGTTTGACACTTTGAATTACCTATCTAAAAATTTGTACCAGTCCGATTGGTTCATGGTTCCTCAATTCTATTATAATTTGTTGTTTTATCGGCAAAGCAATTACAAAAGTAATTATAAAAGTAATTGCCAATTCCCTTTTTCATGTAATTGTAATTAAATCAATATAATTCCTATTTTTACAACATGTACGTTGTACTTGTAATTAATTCCTAAAGTACTTTGTAATTGTAATTATTTTTAAAGTACATGTAATTGCCCAGCTCTGGGATAATGTAGTCTCATTTTGTTTAAAACGAAATTGTTTGAAAAAATATTATTTTTAAAAGGGACAATTTTTTTCATATTCTTTACTTTAATAATAATATAATTTTTTTGATAAAGTTAATATTTTCGACGATATAAATTTAAAAAATCACGATTTTGTCAAATTTTAACGGCTTATAACTGATATTATTTTAATTCCTTGGAAATCTCTAAACAAATTTCAAAATTACCCCTACGAAATAATGAGAATAATTTTTGAACATTCAAAAGTGATAACAAATTAAAACAAAAAGGAAAAAATCTATTCACGAGTAGATTTGAACCCACCTACCCATGTTGCACAAATTGAATCAACATATTGTTACTACTAAAATGTCATACGAGAGTAAAGAGTCATTATTATAAAAATGTCCTTGATTTATACTATCTGTATAAAATATAATTTAACATAAATAATTAAATATAATATAAAGCATTACTGGCAAACCGTGAGATGCTTGGCTGAGCAGAGTTTATAAATATTGACCTAAAAGTGTACGGCTTCGATTATAATTCTTCTATTTGATCTTATTCGCGGCTACAGTTTTTTAGTCGTCAGCTCCTAGTTCTCTTTTATCATCTTTTTCTCACTTTCTCCTTTGCGTTTTTTAACACGCTTTTATTAGCTTCATCTGTATGTATGTTTGTAATTCTCCTTTGGACTAAAAGCAAGTGGCTTATTACTGTCAGTATATCCCACTACCTCAAGTTCGTTCGTTGGCCGAGCGGTCTAAAGCGCGGGTTTTCGATCGCCAGACTCACCGATCGTAGGTTCTAATCCCGTCCACGGTTGAAAAAAAAAATAATTTTTTTTTCAACAATTTTTTTAATAATTAATCGAACTAAAAAGTAAAAAATAAATATCGTTTAAAAAACTAAAAAACACGCTTTTATAATACATCGAACTAAAAAGTGAAAAATAAATATAGTTTAAAAAAACTAAAAAACACGCTTTTAAAGCATATCAAACTAAAAAATTAAAAATAATTTTTCAAAAATGCAAAATACTAGTATTATGGTGAAAAAAGCGTGGAGCACTTTGTCCATATTTCTCGTACTTTGAGCGCCCGACGCTTTTTTCACAATAATACTACTAGTATTTTCCATTTATTGTTTTTTTTAAGCTTATTTGAAAAAATATTTTTAACTTTTTAGTTTAATATGTTCTAAAAGCGTGTTTTTTAGTTTTATTAAACTATATTTATTCCTTTTGACCTTCCTAGTAATACTGGTATTTCGTAGGAGAACCGCTTGGCATGTTCTAGACATTTTGTTCTCTGTGCTTTCTCTACAGGTTACATTACTAGGCTGTTATTTCTATCTTTTATTTTTCAGTAGGTCATCCTTTGCCACCCATTCATTTGTTTCTCCTAAAATTCGTCTTAAATTTTTCTTTAAAATACCTTTATTTAACTTTTCATTTATTTATACTTCGCATGTCTGAGCTATTCAAAGGAAACAAGTTATATGCAGTATATGATCTAGGCTGGAGTGGGTATTGGTACAAAACAAATTTTTGGGTCCACCCCTGTTTCAATAGTGCCATAACCTTATAAATATTAATTTTACAGGAGAAGCGAAACAAAAACGATTGTGGATGTAATATTTTTTTGAGCAACATTTTTAGTACTTGTGCTTACCAAATTCGGTATACATATTGATTAAAGATGTCTCTACTGATTAATGATACATGTAATGTAATGTGAAATCTACACAGATAGCCTAAAACAAAAAAAATGTTGGTGGTGGTAATTTAAAATGGGTGTTCACTTTTTCCAATAATTTTATCATTTGTAAGTTCGGTACAAAACTTTGTACAAGAGCCAATATGGCTGTTTTTTTATTATTTGAGTTTGTACTAAGTGTAGTTATTATTATCAACATATTACTGTTTTCAAGCACTAAAACTATTATTAAATGAATATTTTAGTTAGTGTAATATTTTATTATTTGTTTTGTTTTTAATACGTTGAAAACCATCTATAAAAATTATTAGTTAGTAAACTGACTTTTTTTTATAATTTGAGATTATTTTTAAAAAAATATCAGGTTATGTAGAAAGCTTGACATTAATTTTGTGTAAAAAATATTATATGAAACTTTACCTACCATTTTTCAGTTTTTATTGTAAGTTTAATCATTTTCACAGATGTCAAATAAAATATATATTTTTTAAATACCTTTATTGGCAAACAAAATAAGAACTAAAATGTTTTAAATGTTTATTTTATAAGATCAGTCCCATCACAATACCTAATATTACACAGATACAAACTAGAATAAAGATATATAATGCCTGGCATTCTAAATGATACTCTTTGTAGTTTAACAGACCCCTTAACCCCCATTTTCAACCAGATTGTTTTCACAATCAATAGGCCTCATCTCCTTAAAGATCTTAATTTTTACTAAAAATTTCATGTTGATATCGATTTTCATTTTTGATTTTTTTTTTAATTCCAACCCCCCTTGAATCCCCCATATTTAATCAGATTTTTTTTTATAATTAAAGGGCTTTTTCTCCTTTTAGAGCTTGCTGTTTGCTAAAAATTTCAAGTTCTGATGTACGCAGAATGTACTACATCTAGTACAATTGTGAATTGTACTAGACTGGCAACACTGGTTTGGCAACCTGGTTTGTGAGCGGCGCGCCAATTAGTCTTCTCTTTTTAGCTAAATGTATTCGCCAAATCGTCTCACTCGTGTTAGGCTAACTCATCATAATGCACCACAGACACGGTATACTTAGGTATATTGTGCCATGGAGACGCGCTCAGCCAGAGAGTAATGATGTACCAAAAAATATAGATTAACACGTATGAAAATAAAAATATTAAAATTAAATTTATATTTTTATGTTATTTATGTTATTTTAAAATAATGCGTTTTTATGAAATTGAACTGGGTGTTCACTGCACAAATGAACCAGTGGAGAAACCTCCTGGTGATATGGCAGTACTGTTGATGGCGCCTCACGCGGAATTTATTAGAACTATTGATATGGCACTTTTATATATTGTAGGCATGTTCATAATGTATACGTTGGGCAAAAAAGTCAATTTAAATTTCTATAATAACATTTCGCAATTGCTCTGCAGTCCATTTTCCCTTCTCAGTTTTTCTTTGATATTTTTTCGGCATCTAAAATATAATATTTTTACATTAAAAAACCTACACACTGATTTTCAACTTTAAGCCGGGCAACTATGCGCACGCACAGTTACCCCAACAACCGTGCGCATAAATACCAGATCAGACAATTTTCTAACTTTGCTTCCTCCAACAAAAAAAAAAAAATTGAAAACTAATAAAACAATAATATTCAGGGAGATTTACGCTTTTGTTTGATACAAAATTTTTCCAAATTAAGTAAAAAATATCGTACTTACGGCTTGTTTTATTCCCCAGCAAAAAAAGATAATTTAACCTCACAAACCCAAACAAACAACCAACTGTTGGCTTTCTAAGTTATGATCGCAAAATACACGTTAGTTAGGAGTTTGGCGGTTTAACTATAGACGGCACCACGTTTCGAATTTCAAACAATAAATATTATGGCGGTATTTAGGTGCGCACAGTTTCCCACTGCGTATATTCACCCGAATTTTCCCTAAGCGTCCTGTTTCTATTTTTCCTTTAAGCATATGTTTCATATTAGGAACAAATTCCATATTAGTTACAATCATTTAATTTTCTAGAGAATATTTTTCTGTGACTCCTGTAATAGATTTAATATTATGAATAATAAATTATGTTTTTCAAAGAACCTACATAAAAAAACAAAGGGTGTTAAGAAGACATTATTTTAATATGTACACAAAACAAAATGGTATTCCATATTAGGCTCACTTCGTCTATTGCTAGGTTTTAATTTTCTTGGATTAAATTTCTTTTAATAGTGATAATTACTGTAAGTGATTTGTTCAAACTTGTATATCGACGGTTAAGAAGTGAAACCTCGTATCAATATTTTCTGAAAATGGTGATACCTTGTATTTGCAAAAAATGTACTTTACAGGAGAGACAAAACCCATTAAATAATTTATTTTTAAGGTAGAGTTTCTGTTATTTTGAACTAAGATAAAATAACATATTTCTATTATATATTTATGATAATATTTAATAAATATTTCTCTTTTCGTTATTCAAGGCAGATACGAGATCTCTGATTGAAATTGATAACATTTTGTAGATACGTGCAATGACAACTGTTTGATTTAATATAAAAAACACTTTTATTACCAAAAAATTTATTTAAAAAAATAAAAAAATACATATATATCCAATTTAACTGAGATCTAATCAACTAAATACTAATTTTATGTAACATTGTGAAATACAAAATAAAAAAAATATTCGACTTTTATCCCTAACACTATCTTCAGAAGGAATTTACATTGCAAAATAACTAAAATCGAAACGGAAATCTTATTACGGGCAAAATAACTGTCAAATTATTTTGTCAGTACCATTAATATTCCTAAATTTTTAATCCAAATGTGATAAATTATCATAAAACGAATGACAATCTTGGGAAATTACAGCTTTAAGTTGCTGAAGGTGTTCCCATTTTTGTTTTTTTATTTTTATAGGCGCTTTTCGTAATTGTGGAAATGATTGTAAATCAGGTACAGGCTTCTCCACTCGTCTCTGCGGAAGATCCTGGAAATCATCGTTAAAATCAAGTTCCACTTGAATGTTGCCATCAGGGGTATATTTAATAACCTTAATATCGTTTACTGTAGGATCATTCACTCTCCGCCCTGGTCTTATTGAGTCAAATTTAGGTAATATAGAGTAATCTTTCGCAAAGTCAAAATGAATGTTCTTAACTGAATAAAGGCCTTTTTTCCTTGGGTCCATTGTAACTTTAAAGTAGTCGCTTGGTAAATATATAGACTTATTTTTCAAATTTCTCTCTATCGCAGCGTGGACTGAGTCTACTTCCATTTGAGTGTGTCCACGTTCAAGATATTTCTGGTAAATTGTAGTATTCTTATGCACACTAAGGCTAAACAAGGCATTCGACAGTACAACATTTTTATTTTGGTAAGTACATCCATCACTCCATATTATTACAGGTTTGGACAAGTCTTCAAGCTGTAAAATATAATCGACAATGTAACTAGCAAAAGTATTAGCGGTCAGATCGGCTTCAGTTTCATTAAACCAGTAACATACGCAGTGATGGGTATTTATATCAAATACTGTAAAATTATGAGAAACTAATTTTGTCTTGTAATAAAGGGCTGAAGCATTGAGATATGGACACACTTTTACAGCTTGCATATCTTGGGCTAAAACGATAGCTTCCTTCTTTGCTCCCAAAAGCTTGTCCCTATTTTTTTCGTCTCTTGCCTGTTCTTTTCTTCTAATGTGTTCTTCATAGATCTGAGTATATAAGTTTTTGGATTCATAAGAACCACAGGTATCACATTTATCTTTTTTAGGTGTTTGGAATGCAATGTTCCTTTCTTTTAGAGTACAATCGAACGTGTATCTGCATAAAGGCTTTATAGCGGGATTTTTTTGACAGCTGTATTTCAAGTATTCTCTATAAACATCAGACATACAGTTTCCATAAATGGGCTCTAAATACAACTTGTTTGTGGATGCCCTTCAATAATGTGACGGAAGTTTTGCTAAAGATTCTAGAAACTCTATAAGAATGACTTTCGCAACCCCACTGTCAGTTCAACATCCCTGTTTTTTGTATACCGCTCTCACATTATTATTTGATTCTTCTCTGGAAGGATGAATACCCGACTCGGAGGTTTTGGCCCACTGCAAGACACTCCATTCTCTTAGACCAAAAGTTGAAATTAACATCTTTTTACATACTCGCGATACTTGACTATTGATATTAATGGTGTATTTAAATGTCGAACTTCTCCTGAAAACTTCTTTAGGAGACTTTGTTGACCTTGCTGTTTCAGATTTCGTAACCAATGAAGAAATGTAGATTTTCCTCTGGTCCCAATTCATTTGAGACCAGAATTTTTTGAAAAGTGCACTTCGGCTTTCTTCAGAAATAGCTTGACAGTTCATAACTTTTAACCGGGTACATGTTTTCGAAGAGCATCGTGGGCCCAGCTGTCTCTCATTTCTTAAAATTCCTCTTTTGGCAGGGGCCCCTCTGGGTCTACTACCCCAACCTTTATAAGCTTTCCCCTGTTCTCTCAACATTTTATTCTTTTTGTCTGACCACTCTTTCTTATTTGCAATTCTACATCGCTTTTTTTCTAGGTTTTCTTCTTCAGTAGACGCCGAACCTTGTTTTAGGATCTCTTCCACCTTACGCCTTTCTCTTCCTATAGTTCTTTCTTCTAGGTTTTCTTCATCAGAAGACTCCGAACCTTGTTCTAGGATCTGTACCACCTTACGCCTTTTTGTTCCTATAGTTCTTTCTTCTTTAGCTTTAAGATCTTCTTCCAGGTTTTCAGTGTCTTAGTAAGTTTCTTCATTTGATGGAAGACAATCATGGGAAATTTCAGACTGAGTTTGTAATATTAAATCTTCTAGGATAGGCAGGTTCATAGATTCTCCATTTAGTGTAGTGTCCAGCTCAATTTCTGTTAGTGTATTTGCCAGCTGATTAGGAAGGCTCTCAGGTTTTGTAGTTTCAGAATTATTTTCTAACAAAAAATCTCCTAGTGAAGGTAGGTTTTCTGGGTTCGTTTGTATGTCAGGCATTTTTATTGATTGAGGCTCTAGTACTTGAACTTCATGGAGAATGCAATCTGCTTGCAGATTATTACTATGTAGCTCATTTCCTTCTTCATCGAACCATCTACATTCATCCAAGTTAACTGGCAATTCACACATTTTAATTTGCTCATTTTCATATTTTTTCAAAGAAGATCCCATTGATTCATTTTGCGTAATGTTAATATTCTGAAGATTTTTAAATATTTTATTTGTTCGAGCTGAATAGTTTTTCATTCTGCAATTTAAAGGCAAAAAATTACTATGTAATTTAATCAGTAGTTTGTGAGAACACGTATATACGCAAAATTGGCAAATTTGAGAAATGAGATACCTCGTATCTGTATAGTCTGGAAATATTACTAATTTATTAAGTAAATCAAACAAATAACGTAATTTCACTGCTTTAAATTGATAAAGTGACGAAAACTGAGCCAATTACAATTTCACAATTTCACACAGATACTGTACAGATACGAGTCACAGACCTTTTATAAATTGTTTATAGACAGTAGACTCAATGTATAATTTTCGTAGCTGATTTCAGCGCCCTCACAGTGGCGGGGGTATAAACTAAACGATGGCGGCAATTTTTGAATGTCTGAATAATTTTTTGGAAGCACGCTTTGAACGTGAATTTTATGTGTGCCATTAAAGTTGAGATTTGATTACAATAAGCAAACAAATCGTAACTATAATGGTTTAATCATGTTTTGGTGCTACATTTTTTTATGAAATGAAACCATTTATTATATTTATAACGATTTATTTATAAAATGTAAATTTCGGGTATTATTTTAACTAAAACTAAAAATAGCTAAAAATAAGGCAATAATAATAGGTACATGCAAAATATTAAGATAAAATAAAAAAAAAATCAAGTGTTTTCATTTTTTTTGTTTTATCTGGTTTTTCTTATATTATATATAGGTATCTTGTGTTAGCAAGAAGACGTATTTTACCATTAAAATAATGTAACAACCTGGAACCCGAAACACCTACACTTTACAATCATGACTGAAAGTTTATCCATTATCTCAAATGTAATGTGGTCACATTAATCCTTCCTCCATGTGGTCACTGATCAATGTATGCCGAAACTAATCGCTATTGACTTTCTGCTTTTTCCATTTTATTATTTAACAATCAGTTCAAAAATAAACAAATCACTCACAATAATCATAAAAATAATAAATAAGAAATATTTGTGGTTATGTAGGTATCAAGTAGACAGTGTTGTCACGGTCAAATGGTGATAATTCTCATCAATTACAACGAACGCCTGCAATAGTGACGATGAAAATATTTTAAAACATAACTTTTCAGCAATAGTGCATACTATTAAATGCAAAACGGCAAAAACGCTATAATCTTGCATGAATAAATTATAAATCAATTCATAAAAGTTCATTGGTTGGTTAAGAATACCCAAAAATCGGGTAAAATTCTTGCTATTGGCAACGCTGCACAAGCGTGTCCTATAAACGGTGACGGTGGCGACCTCACGACGGCGGGGGTATGAAACTTAACACGCATTGACCTTGACGGTACACTGTGGATACGAGTTCTCACCAGTTGTTTTTCACGATTACACATGCGTGGTACCACTAATGGTTGAATTAAGCACAATCTATGAAAATTTAGATATCAGGTTATAGTGTAAACGATGCATCATTATTTTCTGAGTATTTTAGCACCGTTGACTAATATTAGCCAAACCTGCAGAAACGAGGTGTCACATTTCTCAGATAATGTAGATACGAGGCTTCACTTCTTAACCGTCGATATATCATCTTCGACCATTCGTATTTGTCCCATAACTAATTTGAACTTTCTTAAAGTTATATTTTTTGAATTTTGTTCCTATTTTTATATACCTTAACATTTATTAAAGCCTTTCATTTCGAGTAATTTGTTTTGTCTTTATCCCTTTTTAGTTCTTTGAAAACACGTTTCACTTGAAATTTGCTTCTGCTTGGTGATATTGATTCTCATCGTAGGTACTGTATAGTTATAAATATAAGAATGTTTGTGCTGAAATCGCCAATAACTATTTTCATATTTTGACAAATGAAGACCTGTTTAAGACTCACTTATGCTGTTTGTTTTCTACGATCTTAATATAGGCTTAGTGTTAATGAAATCGTACGATGAAATTGAAGTAAATACCCATATTTTAATAATAAAATAATATTTTTTCCTGTCTTAGGTTTTATGATACTGATAAAATCTTTATTGTGAGAGAATCGGTTTTAAATTCGGTTAAATATCCGAAAAATATGAAATTAAATTCCCAGGCAATCATTAAACAATTTTACCCCTACGAAATAATAAAAATAATATTGGAATTTGTTTGGGGATTTCCTGGGAATTTAATTTCAAATCCCTATTTTTACAGAAATATTGTAAAGTATAATGTTGGCATTATAAAAAAAACTTTATTCACATTAACAGTATGCTGTGTAATTTGCAATGTGTATTTTTGAGTACATACATGTGCTGAATGACCTAATTTCTAAAAACACCAAATGTTCAGAATTTGAATAATAATATCATATAACTATGGTTTTTACTAGCTTTAATTTTATGACCTTTATCAAATTAATTATTGTTATTATGTTGCAGTAATTATTTTATATAATAGCTGATACAGGCATGTATATTATATTAAATGTAATCCATAAATGCGCAATATAAAGCCATCGTAATGTGTAAGATTTCCTTGAGATTGAAAAAATTATTTTGTAGCTTGCGATAGATCACTGTAAAATCAGTAATTTTATACACTTGAGAAAAATAATTGTTCCTGCTTAGAATGTTTACTATATGACTCCTTATATTAAATGATTTAATTAATAACTGCTTTAGTAAACATACTTAATTATGAGGCAATATTATAATAAAAAAGATCAAATTCTAAAATAAAATATTGTAAATTGCTTAAAAATTTATTTTGATTTTAAATAAAGACATAGCGATGCGTCTGAGAATAATTGAGAAGAGACACAAAATAGTTCATTATTTAGGAGGGTGGGTGGCTCAGTGATTAGAGACTGGACTTGCGAGTTCTCGGTTCGAAACCTACCGTTGGCCGGGATTTCTTTTAATTAATTAATTTATTTTAAAATAATTCTGATGCATAGGATTCCCCACTCCTACCATTCTCTGTTTTAATTAACAGTGTTGTTCCTATGATGGCGCTGCGAAACATAAGCTAATGACCTAAATTTTAGAAGTTGCAGAAGGCCACATATTCCCGCACGAAGGAGCGAGTGGACGAACGAAATAAAAAGAGTGTCCAAGATGGAAGGTTATGTCGCAACCCCCTTAGATTCACGAGCCCTTCCCACTGGCGCTTATTAATGAATGTCAACTGAAATGTTACAAAAATTTTTCTCGATTTTGGGTTTTATCTACGGTTTTTTTATTTTTTTTTTTATTTTTGTGGTCGTTGTTAATTGAGATTTTTTTTCGCAAAATATGTCATTTGGTAACACTTAGTTACTAACCAACAGTCAGGTGAAATTAATCAGGCATTCCAAACAAATGAAACGCGGTGACAAGGTTTGGTATGTCAAAAGGGTTGCGACATATGATGTACAATACGTGAAATCGTAAATAATGGATTGAATTTAAATCTTTTATGTTTTATGTCAAACACAATAAAAATATTATTTTAAAAAAGCGCTTATCCATTTTCTATAAATTGACAGGCTTGGGACTACTATTTCAAATAAAAATAGCGACCAAGATGGAAGACTATGTCGCAATCCACTTAGATTTATGAGCTTTTCCTACTGGTAGTTATTAGTGAATGTCAACTAAAATGTCACAAAAAAAAGTCACCAAAAATCGTTTAAGAATAAGCTTCATTCTTCAACGATTTTACGTCACCCCGACCTTGATATTGGATGGCTATATGACGTAAACCCTACTACTAATTTCTAAGCCGACACGGGTGAAAAAAACGGTCGGTGCGCATGACAATTTGAACGCCAGATTGTCAATTTCGAGCATTCTACGTCACGTTTCCCACGGGCGTAATGTCATATTTTTTATTAATAACGCGCTATTTTTAACCGACTTCAAAAAAGGAGGAGGTTATCAATTCGTCGCGATATTTTTTTTTTTTTTTATGTATGTTCAGCGATTATTCTTTAACACGGTGTCCGATTTCAATGATTCTTTTTTTGTTAGAAAGGGGGTACTTCAGGGGTGGTCCCATATTAATTTAGTCCAAATCTAATAATTGGGTCCATGAGAAAATCCTCAAACTTTATTTTTGATGTATGTTTAGCGATAATGCTTTACCACCTTGTCCGATTTATATGATTCTTCTTTTGTTAGAACGGGGCTACTTCAGGGGTGGTCCCATATAAATTTGGTCAAAATCGGAAAATTGGATCCATGAGAAAATCCTCAAACTCTTCATTTTTTATGTATGTTTAGCGATAATGCTTTACCACCTTGTCCGATTTATATGATTCTTTTTTTGTTAGTAAGGGGGTACCTCAGGGGTGATCCCATATAAATTTGGTTAAGATGTGGTGATGGCATCTGCACGTTTTTAAAGTCGTTTTTTTTAAATTTTTAATTTACACTTGTCAACCGACTTTCAAAAAGGAGGAGGTTCTCAATTCGCCGCGATATTTTTTTTTATGTATGTTCAGCGATAATTCTTTAACACGGTGTACGATTTCAATAATTCTTTTTTTGTTAGAAAGGGGTGGTCCCATATGTCATCTGCACGTTTTTGAAGTCGGTTTTTTTAAATTTTTAATTTCTAATACTTGTAATAATTATTTTTTACAAACGTCACTAAAAGTAATTTTTAACGCATGCTGTCAATGTCTAAAATGCAATTTTATGACAATTGAGTTAAAAGTAAATCACTTTTAGCACTAGTACTAAAAGTGATTTATTGTTATGAGAAAATATAAAAACATAATTCAAAATGAAGTGTTCATTCAATTAAACTGCCAATTAGTGAAACTACAATTATA